TTTATTTAAAAAATACTAAATACAATTAAATTTTCCAGGCAAATTTGCCTGGAATACAGTTTAAGGGATAATAAATTAAAATTTTTAGAATATGCTACAAATATTATTTATCTTGATATCTGATATAAATAAAGTCAAAAAACCAGTTTTTCTAAAATTTTCACACTACGTACTTAAATTAGAATAATTTTTATATTAGTTCCAAATTTGGCAAAATACATAACAATTTTTTTATACGCTTTATCTTCCCATTACTAGATATCTTTAATAAGATCTGCAACTTTATTTGGCTTGATTTTTTGTACTGCCGGAAATTACAGTAGAACAGGTTTTTTGATATTGTTAACCTAATTTAAATATATCGATATAGATAAAGTAAATTGTATAAAAATCCTATAATTGAATTGAACTTTAAATTAGAGTGGCTTTTATGTTAGCATATAACATAAAATTTTATACTACATATATATAAACTAAAAATTTTTAGAATATATTACATATAAAAAATATCAAAAAAAGTATAATCATGTAATTTTCTATATAGTAGAAAATTATACATTCGTTTATATAATTCAAAAGAGATAATCTCTTAGTCAATTATCATAACCCGTTTGAATTTTCAACTTTTTTTTAGAACATCATGCAAACAAAATAAAGTTTCACGCGAGAAAGATTATCAGATATGACTTTATAATAGTGATTCTAAAGCCTGAAAAGTTTATCGTCAAAATTTTTGACATTACATTTAAAGTAAGTAACATGTGATGATAGCTGCTGAAGGTGGCTATTAGATTCTATTATCAAAACGGCATAGGAATTATGAAGTTTATTTACTGAATATAAAGAAGTAAAACTTCATCAGATATTATGAAGTAAGATATCACGTGATACTAACGAATTCACAAATCTTAGAATAACTTAATAATGGTATTTTTATTGAATTCCCCTCCTTGATTTGTGAATGTCTGTCAATAATAAACTTTTCAGGCTTAATTTTGTCCAGAATTATATTTTGATTTTTCCTGGAGTTATCGGTATATATTATAAATCCGTGAGTTACATATTACCCATAATTTTAAAGTAAAATTTCAAATAAATTAAAATTTTTAGAGTATACTACAAATACTTTTTCATACGCTTATACGTGAATTGTCAAAACTAATAAATTTATCGATAAACCGGATTATCAATAGTTAGTCTGTTTAACAACATATTGTGATACTCCATTAAAATAAATTATGTTATGATTTATCAGTATAGTAAAAAAAAGTAGTTGATTTAATTAATGTGGGCCATAATCTTGATGCGAACATGTGATATAACTGATAAGATTAATTTAAATTCGCAAAGTATCCGTATTAGAGTTTTGTTTTTCTTTAATTATTACTGAAATAACAATATGTAAGTATATTTAATTAAATCTTGTCTTGTATTGTTTTAGATTATGATATAATAATATGTATTCATAATATTTAATTATAGATGACCGACCGATATATATACATGAAGAAAATTGGTGTTATTGGTGCGATATGGATAATAAGAAATATAAATGTTCTTCTGAAAATACTCGTATTTGGTTCGAAGAATCTGATTATTGTGAAATTTGTTATATGTTAAAATCGTATTGTTATTGTGGTGCTATTGTTGGATGGAGGTGGGAAGATGTCGAGTATAAATGTTACAATTGGTGTAAATACCGCGACGAAGTTGGTAAAGACAATAAATAACGATATAAGAATCGAGCTAATCATAATTCACGAGACTGTAAGTATAAACTATCAGAAAAGTTAAGTACTACAGATAGGTCAAAATTAACTGAAGAATGGAAAATGGAAAAAATCGAATGTTCAATTTGTTCAACAAAAAAGCGGATTAAATATCATTCTAAGGGACAATGGTGTCCAAAGTCTAAAGAACAGATTTGGAATGATTGGTGGTTAGATAT